TTTTTTTTTAAATGTTACCTTTGGTAAACCGCTGTGGCGGCTGTGCGGCTGTGCTCAATTAGAGATGTGAGAGGAGAGAGCTGCATGTGGGAGGGACGTCTGGCGTGTCGGGAGGTGGCTCCACTCCTCTCTGGTGTCTCCCCCTCAACATTCCCCTGTCCTGTGCTTCTGAGTTTCACAAATACGTTCTCCTCCCCGGTGTTTGTACTTCTTCGGATTCTTCCCCCTTTCCCCTTCTCCTTGAGGAGGGATAGTTATGGAAGAGGATCCCTCCCTTACAGCCCTTAAACCATCAGTACACCCAGGCGCGGAGGGATCTCCACTGCGTGCCAAGCTTTGGCGAACCGCTAGCGACGCACTTTTTTCATTTTTTCTTTTTCGCCCTCTTTTTTGAAGAAAGGGCGACAGCCTTGTGATCTCATCTTTGGACTGACCGTGCTGCAGGTAAATTCAGAGTTCCTTTCGCTTATCCGATTCCAGTGGGGTTCGAACTCGGGTCTGTATTTCAGCAGTTCAAGGGTGTACCAATGGTGAGCCAGGTCAGCCGGTAGTTTTGGAAACGGGGAACGTGTTATGTCATCATCGAACTGACCGGCCCTAGGTAATTCAGAAATATATTTCATTGTTTTCATCTGAGTCTCAGTGCATCTGGATTCGAACTTGGGTCTGCATGTCAACAGCTTATGGGTGTACCAACTGAGCTAGGCCCGTTGGTTCTTCTTCGATGGCCTGCCCTTGTGGCCCGGTAGGCCCGAGCGCAGAAGTTTTTGGATGTGGGCGATGAGTTCATTTTCTGCAAGGCCGGGGCCGCCGTGTCCTAGCGGTTTAATGCCAGAAGACAATGGGCTATCTTGCAAGTTTACGGAGTACCGCTCAGCCCCAGAAAAAAAAAAAAAAAAAAAAAAAAAAAAAAAAGTTTACGGAGTTCCTAGCCCTGCCGCTCCATGATGATCGAACTTCATCAAAGAGGCATAGCGACGGAAGACGAACTTTCCTTTACCACCGTCCTTAACGAGGGAAGACGCTTGGCGATCGCGCAAGTGAGTATCCACTACTATCCAGCCCTGCCACTTCCTTCTTTTTTTTTTTCTTTTTTTCCCTTTCTTTTCCAGCTCTACCACTTCATGGTGAGCATAGAGGGAAGAACAATTTATTGCAGCCCGTAAACCATCAGTTTTTCAAGCCTCTCTGTACTAGCGAGTCTTTCGCAACACGTATTTTTTGCCCAGTCCCAGTCCTAAGAAATGCAAACTTTTACGGCATGCGATTTGCCTGCCGCGGGAAGCCTTTTGACGACGAGCACTCCGAGACTTCACGGCGAGAAGCCTTTTGACGACGGGCGTATTTTTCGCTGCGGAAAGCGTTTTGACGACGGGCACTCCGAGACTTCACGGCGGTTGTTACACGATCTTTGGGGCGAGATGGTGATTTACCTATATGGGATATTAACCGACGAAGAATCCATCTATATATCACACAGCTGTTAACGACAGAAGAAACTGTGTGGGACATTGCATCGCAGTCGCTAGTTAGGAAATGAACTGAGTTATCTTTTGTCACTGACTCACTGTTGTGATGGGATAGTGAAGGGAAAAAAAAGCACCTCTTTTTATCTACGGGGGTCGTTTACGAGGGGGAGGGAACTAACGTCATCTTCTATCGCGCAGCCGTTAATCGGGGAGGGACTGTGGGCCGATAGCAAGGGAAAAAGAAACTATATATTGCAGCCATTGAAATATACTGGTACATAAGAGCCTCTTTTTGCCAGAGCGGACCTGTTCTGCGCACCAAGCTTTGCCTAACCACCAGCGGTGCACTTCTTTTTTCCGTTTTTGGCTGGCGCCCGCTATCCGTTGTGGTGCGGTAGCCCCCGAGCCCCCCAAATTTTTGGATTGGCTAGATTTTCATTCTCGAGTTTGTCTGGGCGATGTACCGGCTGTGTACCGGCGGCGCAATCTGTGTGAAGAAACTCGACTATCTTGGAAGTCGTCGGAGTGCGTCAACACTGCCACCGGACGGGCAGGGCAGGGGCTCAGCGACGTTCCAAGCGTTTTGGTGTTGCAGCTTTGTTCGACAAAGTGATTGTAGTCCCTCACTCCTCTCCACCCTTGACGGGCGAGGAGAGGCAGAGCGGGACTCTTTGTTCGGCGCCAGGATGGGAAGATGTGACGACGACGACAGCAAGCTGCCTGGCATGAGACGAAGAGTGGACGTATAAGAAGCCGTATGGCCGAGGGGGACTTTTTATTGCAGCCGTTCATGAAGGAAAGAAACTGCACTGTTTTCTGTGGCGTAGGCACTGCCAGACAGCGCGATAGCTCCCAAGGCGACTCGACTGCTACGCCTTTCGTGGACATGGACACATTGAGCAAGGCGACTGTTAAGAGGACCGCGAGCCGCCGGGCATGCCCCCTTGGCATGCGACAAAGAATCGATGTATAAGATCTTTACGGGAGGCCTTTGTGAAGGCAGGCACTGCGAGACAGCAATATATATATATATATATCCGAAGGCGACTGCTAGGCCTTTCGTGCATGGAAATATTGAGCAAGGAGAGGCATGCCTTCTGCTGTTTGTCTTCCATCAGCGGGGTATCGTCTATTCAAGGTAAGATCAAAGGCAACATGCCCTTAATCAAGATGGGAACTCTACTGGGAAGAAAGCAAAAAGGGGGCGGAGCGGGGATGGGGAGTGGGGGCTCAATTCCAATGCATATCTGGTATCACATGCACATTTTGTTTGAAATTGTGGAGGCTAGCTTTCCAAAGGGTTCGTTACTCCGTAAGTGTATGGCTTGTCCTTTTCGGTAGGTAGGACTCAGGAGAAGCCTGATGGGGCAACTGCTCAAGGCAGAATGATTAGAGGTGAAGGATTTTTTTTTTTGTTTTTTTTTTGTTTTTTTTTTTGTTTTTTTTTTTTAAGGTCAAGGGGGATATTTGACAAGTGAGAGAGTGTGATTGAATTTTTGAAAGCCCTGAAAAAAACAAAAAGGCTCAAATGTTTAGTCGTTGAAAGTTCTGAAAGTTGTGTGAAGTTCTTTAGCGCTCAACCGAAATGACCTGAATTCAATCACCGAAAAACTTGGAAAAGAATAAAAAAAGAATAAAAAAAAGACGCATGTGTTTGATGGAAAAGAAAATATTGCTCCTTATCATCTCTCCTAGCGGTGGGGCCGGTTACCAAAAAATAAAAAAAGAAAAGGAAAAAAGAACAGAAAAGAAAAGACTGCTCGCCACGCTGGGGAGCGAGACATTGTTGTTTGCGGTTCGGTGTGCTCCATGGATTCCTGCATGCCCCCCCCCCCAAAAAAAAAAAGAAAAAAAAAAAAAAGATGCCGGGTAATGATATGCAGCAAGGGACATACACGCGTGTGATTCTCTTGTGAATGGCTCATTTTGCCTCTCACCGAATCGCTCAGTATTCGTCTAAATGTGTCTGGAGCTGGTGGTGGTCCCAACACGGTCGTAAATCCCAATAATACATTTACATGTCATAAATGATCGATCCATCCAAATGTATCTGGTCTGTGCAATTGTCCCGGTATGTATCAAATTTTGAGTTGAGGAGCGAGGCCAACTCAGTCTGACTCGTTGGTTCTGGCTTAATCCTCTCCTGCTCTTGAATTAAACCTCCCTGGAGTTGCCCTGGGAGAGAGGTGGTGGTCGCAATCCATCATGTACACTTTGCCATGCACTGTATTATACATGTTTATTTTATCTATATATATATTATATTATATATATTATATTATATATATATATATCCTGATGAGTCGGTGAAACTCCGACGAAACAGTTTGTCACAGCCCCTCGTTTGTTGTCCTCTTCTCCCTCTCTGCCTACGGTTTACCGGGCAGTTCTATTTGACGATATATATATATATATTATACTCTTATTAAAGGGAATAGTGGGTCTCACGTGACGGTGCTGTGAACCCGGCGCTCCTGTGTTGGGAAAGAGGTGTGGGACAAGGCGCCGACCCAAGAGGAACATGCACTTGTTTCTTTTGTGGTTTGCGCGAGTTTGAAGGGTGGCGCGGTGTGGCAGAAGTGCAATTTTGATTTTCCTCTTTCGTTTCAAGCGGGTCCAACAAAATTGAGTACGTGCAGTTTTATTCTTTTGCGGTTCGCGCGAGTTCGAAGGGTGGCGTGGCGTGGCAAAAGCGCCAGTTTTTTCTTTTGCGCTTCAAGCGGATTCAATGATTACAGTGTGACGTGGCAGAAACGTTTTTCCCCTGCGTAGACGACTTCGATTGTTGTCGCTAGCTTGAAGTTTTCGGGCGTTGCGCGGCAGAAGCGCTTTTGCCCTTCGTACGACGATCGTGAGTGAGTCAATGAGTCACAGTGTGTGTGTGTGTGTGTGTGTGTGTGTGTGTGTGTGTGTGTGTGTGTGAGAGAGAGAGAGAGAGAGAGAGAGAGAGAGAGAGAGAGAGAGAGAGAGAGAGAGAGAGAGAGAGAAGGATCCCTTTAATGCATGTCAGGGGGCCCCTGCAGGAAATCTGAAGGGTCCTCACAGCAAATCTGCGTAGACCCTCGACCAAAATCGAGGCAGGCAATGAGTACGAAAGTGGAGCAGGAGCTGGCTTAATGTATGCTCTGGATTTGAATTCAGGTCTGTGTTTCAGCAGTTATGGGTTGCTCACTTAGCTAGGCCCTGTCAGTCTCTGCACGTGATTCTCAGGGCTTGGCTGCACTACTCACCAAATGTGCAAAATTAGAATGAATATTCTGCTAGAACGTGGAATAATACGCCGCCATATGTTTTGTCTTTTGTGCATGTTGTGAGTGGAGGCCCTTAGGTCCACTGCATGTATTCCTAAGAAGAGAAAAACGGAAAAACACTTTAAAACAGAGAATTAGTGACCCATAATCGATGATACACAGACCTGAATTCGAATCCAGACTATATTTTCCCGGCCAGCTCCTTCTCCACTTCGTACTCCTCGCCTATCTCTGCTTCACGATGAGTCCTAGCTAATTCGCTGTAGGGGGCCCTCGGAAAAGAGACTGGACGAAATTAGGACATGCACACCCACACACACAACATGCACTCGCAGTTTGTGGACTATGACGTGGCTCCATCCTTTGTCACTCTTGCAGTTTGATTGTTTTTTTCCCCCCCTTTGTTTCCTTTTGTGACGTGGCGCATCACGTGCACGCGCGCTTTGCGCCGCACATGCCGTGCCCCCGCGCACGGCACGGCATGCTCCGTAAGTATGTAAAATTAGGTCACGTGTAGTATGTGAGGGTCGAGCAAGCTATAAATAGATCAGGTGTAGTTTCTAGTGTAGTTTCTAGTGTATCTGACGCCCTCACCCCACTAGCAGCGTGTCCGTTGAATTGGCCAACTCGCATGAAACAAAACAGGAATGCTATTGAGGCGCACATGAATCGTGTAGTTCCAAGTGTAGCAGAGAAATCGCGCGTCTTTTACGTGTCCTTTTTTCAAATTTTTGCTTTTTTCGGGAGCTTTTTTTTCTAATAGTGAATGACATGTTCTTCTTCAGCAATTTCACTTTTCAGTGTTTTCACTCACGTAATTTTCTATCCTAAATTTCTCCCCTACCCCATGGTAGGAAGAGAAAATTAAGTGAAGGCAGCCAATGACGACTCTGTGCTGTGATTCTCAGAAGATGCTGAAGTCTGATAGTTAAATTTTTTACTTGTGTCGGTCGCGAGGGCAACCTGAGCAGTACACAGTCCATTCGTTTGAGCTTGTCGGGAGTGTCTCCAACTCTGAGATGCAGAAAGCGGCTACCACTTCCCGGTCGACCAACCATATATGGAAGGGGTCACAGCGAACAGTGATTTTGTTGTAGAACGTGTGCATGGATGGACGTACATGGAGAATCGTCAATTCCTCTTCGTCTCAAGTCGTTTCTTCCTTTTGGCTGACAATTGCACCGAACCATGGGCCTTGTCCACGTTCGTTTCACAAAAGACAAACGACCTGTCCTCTTATTATGGCAGGGGTCACTTACACATTGTGTCAGAGATATTTGGAAATAGGTACAAAAGCTTTTTAAAAATTTTTTTCAAGTTTTCATAGCATTTCTTTTGTTTTTTCTTATCAATTTTTATAGATTTTTAATGCTGTAATAAAGCACGTCACACATCGCTGCTCTTTTCAATCAATGGCGGCTGGACTACCGTCTTCACCCGAATAGAACGCCCGGCCGTATTTGGTCGAAGTTTAAGTCTAGATGTAGTGATAATGATCGGGCGTTTTATTTGGGTGAGGACGGTAGGCCCCTGCTTTGATCAGTTTAGCGTCTGATTTATAAAATATAAAAAAATAAAAAATAGAGGGTGTATGGTGTGTGGTTTGTTAAAAAAACTTCGTTTCATTGTGACGAAGGCCTTGCACTGGAGATGTGAGTTGGCTGTGGGCTGTGCAGTTCTCTTGCAGCATGTGCATATCATCGAGCAAGCGAAATCCTCCTCTGTACTGCACGCCCCAGGGCCAGACAGCACTGGGCCCTGTGTTCATGGTTTGGATGAATGTGGCTGTTAATGACGACCAAATTCGTGGTATTCTATCAAGAACCTTGCCCCAGTGGGGCCTGACCGTTATGCGCTGCTACGTAGGAGAGGAGGGTGTTTTTTTTTTCTTTTTTCTTGTTTAAAGACGGTGGTGTTGAGTGTTGCTGCACCGCGATCTGCAAAATGCCTACCACAAGAAAAACATAAATATTTATTTTGTTAATTCAACCTAATTGCGTGATATGATCTCTCAACTGTGCTACAGTCTTCCCCCGAATACAACGCACGGTCATTATAGCCGAATTTGGTCCATCTTTCTGTCTAATTCAGCTATAATGACCGTACGTTGTATTATAGCTGAGTCATTATAGCTGTATTATAATGACCGAGGTCTACACAGATGTCTATAGGCCCCAAGCGGGTCGTGGAAAGGGTGCCAAATCTTGGGGAGTGGTTTGGAGGCGGGCAGGCAGAGGGGTAATTGGAAGGACCGGTCGAAGTGCATCACACGAATTTGAGGCAGGTGGGAAAAAAAAAAAAAAAAAAAAAGTTGCAAAGGCGTTTGGATAATGTGGATGTAGCTCAGCTGGTGGAGCACCGCTCTTGCAAGTGTGTCGAGAATCTCTAGATACTGAGGATGCTCAGTAATGAGTGACAGTGATAGCTTGTTCTCTAAATTAGCGTCGTACCTCAAAGTAGAACGATTGCGGGGAAACGAAACATGAAGCTTTTAACTTTGTTCAAAAAGTTGAAAAAACACATTTTTTCAGACATGGAAATTACTTAATTGGAATTGGTTTTGACTTGGTGCACTGAACTGCATTCTAATTTAATTCAATTAATATATATATATATATATATGTGTTTGTTGTCCTGAAACTCCGACGAAACAGTTTGTCACAGCCCCTCGTTTGTTGTCCTCTTCTCTCTCTCTGCCTACGGTTTACCGGGCAGTTCTGTTTGTGACGATATATATATATCGTCAAATAGAACTGCCCGGTAAACCGTAGACATATATATATATACTCCGACGAAACAGTTTGTCACAGCCCCTCGTTTGTTGTCCTCTTCTCTCTCTCTGCCTACGGTTTACCGGGCAGTTCTATTTGATGATATATATATATATAAAAGATTATAAATATAGATCCAAATGTATTAATGAGAGGCCCAG